TGATCTTTGAGAGACAGAGGATCTGGAAAATCTGGAAGAGGCCATGATGCCTGCAACTGAAGACAAACGTGTCAAGGTTATTGTTAGAACAAGAAGAAGGGTCAGCCGCACACCAGAGGATTTATGAATATAGTGTGTATTTATTGATCCATATGACACACAAAACACCAGGACATGAATACAGGACCTGTTAACTCGTTTCACACGATCTAGTGCTTAATCATAAGTTAATCACAGGCTGCTAGGAAGGTCTGTCAAAGTATAATTCAAGGCCATGAGACATAAGGAACATGTACTGGTCAGGGAGAGAATAAGCAGTACGGGGGAAACAGCATACAAACAAAGGAATTAGGATCAAGGAGCAAAGGCATAGGTCTGTGGTTTAAAAAAAAGCAAACACACAATTTTACTGTTTATACAAATAGTATTAATTATTAACTGACATGAAGAACTTCACATCCATGTACAGATATCAGGGCATGAGCCAGGCTGAATATAAGAAGGCACCTGTAATATGTAAACTATTGCCTTTTGCTAGGAAAATCAGATTCCAGTTCAGCTCTGGAAAATACATTGCTCTATTTTTTTTGAAATTCTCAGCCAACTCTTAAAATAAAGCCATTGATGTGGAAAATATATGTACCCAACACTAGAAACCAGCATACAGCTGAGCAGTGGATAAGACCAAAATTGTGTTCCACAACCCTATGGCTGTCTTTAATCATGGGCTTGTTCATTCGGGAAAAGCCATATGGCAGTGGTGAAGAGAGTGGACAATTTAAACAGAGAAAGGAAAAAAAAACAAAAAACTGAGGCCTCCCCTTGGATGCCTCAGTGTTTTCATAGCTGGCTGAAGCACAGAGACTTGGCATTGTCTGGAACCGATTAAGTCCGCTAAGCTTAACCATTTCAGAGCAAAATGCTTTACAAGTAACACAACTGAGTTATGAAGCAATGTTCTTTACATTCTGGATGGGAGTCAAGGTGTCTGTTCAACATATGTGGAGATGGTTCCTTAACTTCAAAACACTCATCCTGTAATTTGTAACACAAGACGCACGCCATTTACAGGACCATAACACTGAGACTACACAGCTAAAACAAAAACGTACTAGTTAAGAGCATTTAATCTGCATGTTGATATGCTGCATTTACCCAACACCACAATGTATTTAAAAGAAAAAAACAAAAACCTCATAAACACTGTAAACAATTTCTAGAAAAGGCAACACTGACTCCTAGTGCTTCCACTCAGCAATGTGCTAGAAATCCTAGACACTCATAGCAGAGTTAATGACTACCATATGGACACTTCCAAGGGGGGGGGGGGGGATAGGGGCAAGAAGAAGGTGGGGGGGGGGGGGGGGGAACAATCTGTTTCTGCAACCTTTGAGAAAAGGAGGGATTCTGGGTAGGGGCTGGCTTAGTACATGAAATCTCTCTTGCTGTCCTTCAGTAATGATGCACAGAAAACACACTTAACATAAGTATATCAAAATATTCATAATCACATGTCTAACGATTCCTACACAATGTGATTGTTTCCATATGTAATTTTGTTATCCATTGAGTTTGTTTTGGCTATGTCACTCTATTCTAATATTCTTCAAAATAAAGAATATCAGCTTGTCATGTTTGCATAAAAAGAGAAAAAACAATATGTAAAATAAAAACTGGTCTAAACAATCAGTTTCCAAATTTTCTAAACATAACTGTAATAATTTTGTCTCAGTTCCATTAACAGACTTGGCTGTTATGCCTATTTAACAACCCTTAAGCCAATACCTGGAAAAATATGTTGTATGTGTCTACTCCGCTTTTAGATACATGGCAGAACATGGAACCTATACTACTATATATGTGCCCAACCCACTTTTTACAATTCTGGCGTGCATTTAAAGTGGTTGTAAATGCTTATATATACACCCAGTTAAGTGATTGACCTCAGGTGATACACAGAGATGAAATAAATCCTCCTCCATAAGTTGTATCTGTTAAATCTACAGCTGTCTTTCCCCTATATCCAAAGTGCAGACTTTACACAGTATCTCTCAGCTTTGAACAGCAGGGACGGAGAGCTGAAGTTACACCAGTGAGGAGAGCTCTGAGAGCTGATTGGAGCAAAGAGACACACTCCCCTCCAAACAGCAACAGAGCGGAGACTGTCGATCACAGGGTGGGAGGGCGTGGGCCCTCCCCCTCACCATTTTTCTCTTGGTGTCAGGAAAACTGGTCAGAAATGACTCATGCTGATAGCAGAGAAAACAGAGAAATGACACTTTGTGTTCTGGATTGAGACAAGTATACACTATAAGGGATGTGTTTTATTCTTATTTCAGGTCAGAAGTTCACAACTGCTTTAAGTAGGGCACTGCAGGTTCCACAGCAAGAACCACACACTTTTTAATGAAAGCACCTTCCATCTGGTATGAAATGCCTTATCCGCATGGGCACAGTCCCTGTACAGATTCTCTTCAGAACGAGAATGCAACAGAAAAGACTTTCCCCAAAACCTGATACCTTGGGCCCAGAGAGTTTTGGTAGTGACAGTTTTAAGTTCCTATGGACAACTCTGTGTAAACGCTCGCTGAGGACTGTTGAGATGGAGGAATATGAAAGTCCTTGGTGTCCTCAGAGTTTACAGAGTACGGGTGTCAAATTGACGGCCCTCCAGCTGTTGCCAAACTACAAGTCCCATGAGGCAATGCAAGATTGACAGTTACAAGCATAACTCCCAAAGGTAGAGGCATGATGGGACTTGTAGTTTTGCAACAGCTGGAGGGCTGCTAGTTTGACACCCCTGCTGTAGAGGGATATGCTTTGTTCATATCTCATGTCTGAGGTTTACAACCACTTTAAATCTGAAATCCAGACTAAGTAAAAATTGTCTAAATGCAAGAGGCATGAGTGTTCTTCCTTTAATCTTGATGTGCTGTGTGTATCTCTTCTAGATCTGCAAAGTAATCCAGTGCCTCAACTTTGCTGGTCTCCACTGCTCTCTCCTTCTGCAGGGTGACTGGTCTGGTCTTTGACCGCCTGTAGTTGTTTACAGGAAACCTATAGTGGTTGGGCCCCCCACAGCTCTGCTCTTTGCACAGACTGTGTGCAGCACAGTGATGATGTCACCACTACTTTTACAAAGTTATAACCAGGTGTACATAGGCATTTGGTGCACAAAAAGTGGGTTTTTGTCTTTCGTGGCTATTGAGATATATATATATATATCCACACACACGTTTTTTGTGCCTTGAGTTTAGCTTTAAGTGCTCTAGAGTGCTCTAATACAACACCACCTTCTACTAGCAATTGCACCATTAGACACACGAGGTTGGTAATAGCTCCTGAATAGAAGTTAGTGTTTGCTTATTAGGTTTAGGAGTTCTAAAGACCCACTAAAAAATATTACAATTCTGGTGCCAATTGTGGATGAGTGCAATTACTCTTCAGTGAATTCTGAAGGATGATTTCAGGCTAAAATTAATTGGTAAATATTGTTGTTTTGTTTGTTTTTTTACATCAGCAGACATCCATTTGAAATATTACCTTCTAGTTCAGTTTCAAACAAGATCAATTAACCACTTGCCTACCGTGCACTTATACCCCCTTCCTTACAAGGCCAATTTTCAGCTTTCAGCGCTGTTGCACTTTGAATGACAATTGCGCAGTCATACAACATTGTACCCATATGAAATTTTTATCAATTTTTTTCTCACAAATAGAGCTTTCTTTCGGTGTTATTTACTTTCTGCTGGGTGTTTTACTTTTTGCGCTATAAACAAAAAAACAAGAGCAAAAAATTTGAAAGAAAAAAAAAAGTTTCTTTGTTTCTATTATAAAATTTTGCAAACAGGTAATTTTTCTCCTTCACTGATGTGTGTTGATGAGGCTGCACTGATAGGGAGCACTGATGGGCACTTATAGGCGGCACTGATAGGCAGCATTAATGAGGTGGCACTGATAGGCGGCACTGATGATGGGTACTGATAGTCAGCACTGACAGGTGGCACTGCTGAGCACTGACTGGCGGTACTGCTGGGCAAAGGTGGGTGGCACTGCGGGGCGGCACTGCTGGGCACAGGTGGGCGGAGCTGGTGGGTGCCCTGATGATCGATGCTGATCCCTGCTCTGACAACTGCCGGTTCTCGGCAGTACTTTCCTCATGCTCTGACAGCGTGAGGAAAGTGCAGCCGAAAACTGGCAATTGCATTTCCCTGTGATCAGTGTGTCATTGGACATGGCTGATAACGTGGTAAAAGGCTGCTGTGATTGGCCTTTTACCACATCACATGATCAGCTGTGTCCGTAGGACAAAGCGATCACGGAGATCTCCGGGGGCACGCAGGAGAGCGCGTTCTGGGAGGACGTCATATGACACCCTACCAGAGCTGGCCGGCCGCAGTGTAGCCGTCATTCGGCTATCTGCGGTCGGCAACTAGTTAAACCACACACAGTTAAACGGAGAGGATTGACCACATTTGACCAATCAGAAGCAGGATAACAAGATAAGCCATATATTTTGTGTAAGCAAGTTTTTTTTTCTCAACAATGACATGAGGTTGGGGATGGGATAGTTGGCTGCACAAGCAGAGCAAAAATAAGGGTCCCTAGAAGATGACTCTTGAGGAGCACACACCCTGAGATTGTGTATTTTTTTTTCACCAATAACTCCCATTTTCACAAAGTTCACTTTGACATCACAATTTCTCATTATTTTACCAGAAAAAAAAAATCAGCTTTTAAAAGTGCATGACATAACAAAAAGCAATTTTTTACCCAACCTTTACAAATAGGCCCCTAACTGTTTATAGATCTGTTGGAAGCTCTTATGAAATTCAAATGGGGTTATGTTATGAGAGCAAAAGATAACAATAGTGCTTACTGGAGTTTGTTATGCTGGTAGCCGAATGCACTATTACTGGCAGAAATTGAAGCACAAACTGTAGTCAGTCCTTGGGCTTTGCAATAAACCAGATATGTAATATTGCACAAAAGACCTTTACCTGTTGTAGGCTCCCACACTGGGACTATGATCACGATCTCTCTCTCTTTCTCGATCCCTTTCCCGTGGACGCTCTCGTTCTCGTTCCCTATCGCGATCCCTTTCACGTTCGCGATCTCTGTCACGGTCTCTATCTTTATCTCTTCGAGGATAGTAGTCCCAAGGTTTGGATGTCTCTACCATACTCGACCATGGTCCGCCAGAACCAGGCATGTGTGGGAAAGACACTATATGAATATAAAAAAAGAAAGAACATTGAACTGGACTATATGATGCAAAATCACAGATTTTATATTTGCCGTTACATAAATGGACCTGGTTAAACACTAAAAATGTTAATTGTAGCAACCCAGGTTGACACCAGACCAGTACAAGAGATTTTAATTGGTTGCTATAAATATTCACTTTGCACTTAACTTGCTACACTGTTTTACTGATTAGGGCGTTGAATATAAGTCCTATCTAGTGATGTACTATTGAGAGACCTTACAGTATATACAAAGCACCTAATCAACATGATACGCACAATCCTCTGTATAACAATAATCATAAGCTTGGGTGCTTAATTTCTGCTCTGATTCATTGTGCTAATATTAATCAGAGGACCAATGCCAAGTGGAGACTGGGAACAAGTCCAGAAGTGCCATTAAATGTAAAACAACTAAACTGTGAGATATTTTATTATACAGAAGGATTTGTGTCATGAAAGAATGTTACTACTTCTTATACTTTAATTGCTTTGCACAATGGCCAAACTGTCCACGGTTAGCTTCACTGTTTTTTGTTCATCTATCTCTGGATTGGTACATCATCTAGCACTAAAAGATAAATTGCTAAAAAAAAAAAAAAAAATTAGTACGGTGGATAAATGCCAATGAACAGTTTAAAAAATGGTGTCGAGAAGTGAGTATAAAAGTGTCCATTATATTCCAGTACAGATTGGGGGGGAAGAAAAGAAAATCACACACCAGATTGGCTACTCTGGGCATACCCTTCTGACAGCTGTAGTCTGTGTACTAGTAGTATTCGCTGGAACAACAAAAATGGCAACACATTGCAGTTGTAGACCAAAGCTATCGCTTAGACCAGGGTTCTGTGGTTCCTCCAGAGGTTGCCAACTCCCAGTAATCGCTGATATCAAATAAAATGCAGCGCTTTACATTCATACAGTATATAGGAAAAACTACATAAGTGAATACTGTAAATGCTAAAAGCCCAAGTAGAGTCCAAAAAAATCATTAACACCCCAAACGTGACCAAAGAGACTGACTTTAGCACTATCCATCCACATCATTCACCAGTAATGAGCACACAGAGCCTCTTACCAAGGAATATTGACCCTATGCGCCTTTACCACATTACATCAAAGTGGAACTAAATTTCACTTTACTTAACTCCAACACTACAACATAAGTAAGCTCCCTCATTGCAGCAGTCTTGACATCTTCTTATGGGTTTTAAATCTTTAGACATTTTGATTGACCAGCCCAGGGTGGTCATTCAGGAACCAAAGAAGATTGTACAGTGCACAAGGCTGTGTAAGCGTACCATCTTTAAAAGGACTTGCTTGCGTGCAGTGCATATGGAAGCCGGATACTTGTGGATTGCTGGTGCGAAGTGAGTTCCAATTTTCTAAGGAAAGGTCTAGCTGAACGTGTGCGAACGGATCAGATTGGGTGGAGGCAATGGAACCTTGGAGGTTTATTTTAAAGTGCTATTTGACCACTTCTTATGACGATGGTCAATATTCTTTGGTAAGAGGCTCTGCGTGCTCACTAATGATGGACGTTGTTGTGTGTCGACAGCACTACAGTCTGTCTCTTTGGGCGTATTTAAGGTGCTCATGATTTTTTTTGGACTGTTTACTTGGACTTTTAGAATTCACAGCATTTATTAACTTAGGTTGTTTTTCCTATATATGCATGTAAAGCGTAGCACTATATTTTTTATTTGCTGTTGGAATTTGTTGCAAAAAATTGTGTAAGCTTTTTTTTTTTTCTCTTATAAGAATCAAGGTGCGGGTGTGTTTTGAACTTTTCTGGATATTAATCGCTGATATTAATCATCTTTTAAGCGGTTTGTATGGGGGCACTTTTCCCAGAAGTCAACAATGTGAGAGTGTTCTCTTCCCATTAGCCCCCAATGTATGGGACCACTGAACTGACTACCAATGTAAGTGGGCACTTTTCCATTGACCACTAATGTAAGGGGCACTACAATTTTCACTGTTGGTGTTTTTATGGCCATTATTATTTTTCCCATTTCATGATTGTTACTGAAACTATTTTTTCTTATACAGTAGGTGTTCTGGGTGTAAAATATGCTAGCTACGCTACAATCTTTATTCTTTTAAATATCATTACATTTACAACCAACTGCCCATGAACTAGAGATGTACTAATTTAACAGGGCTTCTGTATTAAAACAGTTGAGAAAGGTTGGCTTAGAGACATAAAGTTGACTATAGACCATTTGGATTTTTTTTGATTCTTGATTTTGACTGAGCCAGGTGAACAATTATCAGCCAAACAGTGATTGCATCTTATCAGATGCAGTCACTGTTCAGCATTGCCACTGTATTCAGGCAGCTATGGTTGTGGCAGCTGCCTAAATACAAGTGGAGCATCCTCCTATTATTAATAAGGTCACACATTTGAAATATCAGTCTTTTCGATACAATCCCTAAGTTCCTGAATGTCTGGAATCCCTGGGTAGAGTGTTTCCTCCCGCAAAATTTTGATGAATCCCTCCTTCTACCCTGATTCATAAGCAACAAATCTTCCGCTTTTTCCAGATACCATCCCTAGCCAGGCAAACAACCTAACTTCACTCTTCCCCACAAATCGAGCCACCTTCCTCACCACCCTTCTCCCTCCCTCCCTCCCTTTTCCTTGGTCGTTCCCTGTCTCCCCCTAATTCCCCACGTAGCTCTGGAGAGTCCTTATCCCCTTTTTTTTTTCTCTTCTTACTAATATATTTAACAATATAAGTTATGCTACATTGTTACCTTGACTCTCTCTCCCTCTTTATTTGAAGACAGTAATACTGTCCATTCATTTTCCCGATACTCTGTTGTCAATATGCTGTCTATTGCCTACAATTATTGTCTTTACCCTTATGTTTTGATACCAATAAAAAGTTTGAACAAGAAATATCAGTCTTTAACCACTTGAGCTCCTGAGGATTTACCCCCCTTAATGACCAGGCCTCTTTTTACTACTCGGCGCTGCAGTAATTCAACTAATAATTGCGCGGTCATGCAATGCTGCACCTAAACGAAATTTACGTCCTTTTTTTCACACAAATAGAGATTTCTTTCGGTGGTATTTGATCACCTGTGCGCTTTTTATTTTTCACGCTATAAACAAAAAAAGACCAAATATTTTGAAGAAAAACGATATTTTTTACTTTCAGCTATAAAAAATATATAGTAAACTCAAAGTTAGTTATAAATTTAGGCCAAAATGTATTCTGCTACATGTTTTTGGTAAAAAAAAATCCCAAAAAGTGTATATTGATTGCTTTGTGTGAAAGTTATAGCGTCTACAAACTATGGTATAGATACTGCAATTTACGACATTTTTTTGCTATACAGCGCTGCGCTAGTTTAATGGACAATTGCACGGTCATGCAATACGGTACATAAATGAAATTTATGTCCTTTTTTTAACACAAATAGAGCATTCATTTGGTGGTATTTGATCACCTGTGCACTTTTTATTTTTGGCGCTATAACCAGAAAAAGTTTTGAAAAAAAGGTTTTTTTTTGAAAAAAAACTATATTTTCTCATTTTGGTCATAAAAAATATCTAAAAAAAACTAAAATTTCATCATAAATTTAGGCCAAAATGTATTCTGCTACATGTTTTTGGTTAAAAAAATCCTAATAAGTGTATATTGATTGCTTTTTGTGAAAGTTATAGCGTCTACAAACTATGGTATAGATCAGGGGTCTGCAACCTTTAAGACATAAAGAGCCACTTGGACCCGTTTCCGAGAGGCTAAAAAAGACTGGATAGCCGCAAAACCCTCCATTGCAACATTTAAAACAACACCCTGCTATCTCTGGTCATGAAGGGGGTTTGGGCCCATAAGCAAAGGGTTATTCAGGGCCACAGTGTATCGTCATAATCACAATCATAGCCTGGTTTTTTTTTTCAACTGACAAATCTCGCCAAAACCACGATTGAAATTTATTTCGCACAGAGCCACATTTTTAAATGTGAAAATACATCCCCCATATAGTAATTCATCCCCCATAGTAATTCATGAGTATGGGTAATTCACCCCCATGTAGTACTTTTTAATCCCCCATATAGTGAAATTCATCCCCCATATTAAAGTCCCCCCTGTGTCAATTCACTTACCTTTGCTCCGCGCGTTCCTCTCGCCGTGTTCCCGCGCCTGTTCCGGTGTAGCATGAAAATCTGTCTCCTATGAGGATCTGACCCCCTCGACGTATCTGCGCATGTGCCAGTTTCAGGCATTAGCAGCCGATCGGCGATCTCCGGCACATGCGCAGATACGTCGAGGGGGACAGATCCTCATAGGAGACAGTTTTTTTTCATGCTACAAAACCGGTCTTCAGGGCGGACTGTGAGAGGAGCCTAAAGCCTAGCTCCGCGGGCCGGATTAAAAGGTCCGCCAGGCCGTACTTTTGCCCATTGCTGCCCTAATTGCCTGTCACCTGGTGGGCAGTGTGCTCCGGAGCCGCAGCCAAGGTGAAAAAGACTGCATGCGGCTCTGGAGCTGCGGGTTGCCGACACCCGGTATAGATAATGGAATTTACATAGGTTTTACTTTGACTGCCCATCACATTTCTTGAGGTGCTAAAATACCAGAATAGTACAAAAACACCCTCAAATGACCCCTTTTCGGAAATTAGACACCCTAAGCTATCTGCTGAGAGGCATATTGAGTCCATGGAAGATTTATTTTTTTTCCATCAAGTTTCTGGAAAATGACAAAAACTTTTTTTTTTTTTTTTTTTACACGAAGTTGTCATTTAAATAATTTATTTCTCGCACAAGCCATGGGTATATGTGGAATTACACCCCAAAAATACATTCTGCTACTTCTACTGAGTATGGGGATACCACATGTGTGAGAGATTTTTGGGAGCCTAGCCACATACAGGAGCCTGAAATCCAATGACCACTTTGAAAGCCTGAAGGTGCGTAACTTCCTCATTACACTTCCTCACTACCTATCACAGTTTTGAAGGCCC